GCCGCCGTTGTTGCAGTAGTGGTGACAACTGCAGGACGGGCCCTTTAAATTGCTGCTGGAGCTCTGGGTGGTGCACTGGGCAGCACTTATGGCTAGCAGTGTGGTCTTTACTGATACTGAGGGCTGGCTGCCTGAGCTCCATCTGAGGCCGCCCCCCCCCACCTTGCCCAGGGGTCCTGCAATTCTATTGGCCTGCCTAGATTTTGTAACTTGTTTGCAAATCATTTCTGCCCTGTCCACACACACATCACTCAGTACAATCAGGTTATTTGATACTTTGTTCTTCCAAGATCAGTTGGGGGATCAGGGGAAGGAATTCGGGACTCCAGACTTGTAGGATAATGGACCCAAAAGAGGGAAGAATGGCTGAATGGGCAAAGCTGTTGTATGGTGGAAGGGTAAGAATAGTGGCAGTGTGTTTAACAGTGCTTTTTCCAGGGCCTATGTAATGGAAGAATTTCACTAATGAGCTGGGACCCCATCACGGAATTCCCTGCAGGAGCTAGGAGCCAGAATTACAATAGTCAAAGATTTGCAGATGGCTCAGTCTAAGCTGTTCCAGGTTTTCAGTTTGTAGCAGGCTATATTTATGGAAAGAGCCAGGCAATTAATCAGTGTAACATCTTTGCTCTACAGCCAACATCATCATTATGGCACGTTTTAAAGATAGCATATGAATCTAGCAAGTCAGCTATATCTTTAAAATGTACAGAAGTCTCAGCCTCTACTGCTGAAATAATGCATGTACTAAAGAAAGCAAAATGCTGCCTCTTGTGCAGCTGTAACGGCCCTATGAGCTACCTTAATAAGGAGTGTATGTTAATAGACTAGTATTTATTATTTATTCTGTAGCTAAATATGTTTTCTTCCTTACAAACAGGACGGCCGGGACAGCACATAATAAACTGTGGTATGGGTTACTAGCTCTGGGCACTCTCATCTTGTACTCCGTTGCTGTGGGAGCCTTGATTTTGATGGCGGTCTTTTACACACGCGCTGATGGTTGCACTTGCAATAAGATTCTTCTTGGTGTAAATGGTGGCCTGTGCCTCCTTATTACATTGGTAGCCGTCTCACCCAGTGTCCAAAATCGTAAGTGTTTTTATTCAATCTCTGTCTGTTTTTTGTTTTGTTGGAGATGGGATACCTGGGAGAGGAAGGGAGCGGGGGGCTCTGGAGCAACTGCTGCTTATCAGACTCATCCAGGATGACGTCACTGGGAGTGCTGACACTGTGTGTGTACCCCTTCTCTCTCATGCTTTCTGTGTTTGATTTAGCTTTTACATCAGTCTCTTCATAAAATCCATACCACCTACCTATGCTCCATGCCACTGGTCATAATACCACACGAAGGCAGAATAAAATAAGAATAAAATGGGTAAAAAAAATGGTGTTAGATGTCTACTATAAACCCCTTAAGTAGGAGCAGAAGTGGATGATGCTTTTTATAAGCAATTAACAAATAATTCAAAATATAAAACTTGGTGAAGATGGGGAACTTCAGCTGCCCAGAAATCTGCTGGGAAACTAATACCACAGATTATTCAACAAGCTATTGGAATTCAACTTTTTATTAGAGAAAGTGGAGGAAGTGACTAGGGGAGAGGATAGTCTATATTTGATTATGACAGGAGGAGGAAGTAGTTGAAAATTTGAAAGTGGAAGGCAGCTTGGATGAAAATGATCGTCATGATTCTAAGGAATGGCAGGAAAGAAAACAGCAGAATAAGAACAGTGGATTTCAAGAAAGCAAAGTGAAGCAACCTCAGAGCATTGGTAGGTAAGAGCCCATGGGAACCTCATCATAGGGAAAAAAGTTCAGGAGATTTGGTGTTTTTTCTAATGAGCCATTAAAGACACAAGCAAAACTATTCCAAATCCTAGAAAAGATAGGAAGGATGGTAAGAGACCAGTCTGTCCTATCAGGAGATCTTCAATGTCCTTGAAAAATTTTTAAAAAAATCTTACAAAAAGTAAGTGTTATTACTAAAGCATTAATATGAAAAAAACAACATAAGCATGCACGGTCAACATTTGGCCAAAACACTCCCCTCTTCCCCCAAGAAAGAAAAGATTAAATTAGCTAGAGACATAAAAGGTAACAAGAAAACATTTTACAGCTCTGCCAAAAGCAAGAGGAAGATCAAGGACAGAATAGGTCCACTGATCAATGAGGCTAGAATGGTGAAAACATAAACATGCCTGAAATGTTAAATGCCTTTTTATTTTTTATTTCATTTCTCACCACAATGTTTAGCAATTATCAAATGACTAACTGCATATATTTATTAACATAGTAGATATCAGTGTAAAAAGGAATAAGATCTGTGGCTAAAATGGGAAAAGAACAAGTTAAGAATTACTAAGATGAGGTAATATCTTGAAGTCAGCAGGACTGATAAAATACATCCTTGAATACTTAAGGAGCCAGCTGTAGAGATCTCTTAGCCATTTATGTTTGAGAACTTATGCAGGAAGTGAGAGACTCCAGAGGACTTGAAAAAGGCAAATATAGTACTTATCTATTAAAGGGAATAAAGACAATCCACTGTGTTATGAACCAGTTAGAAAATGATGGAACCAATCAGTTTATAAACACCTAGAAGATAATAAGGTGATAAGTAATGGAGACAGGTTGCAAGTGCTTGAGATAACAGGGTTAGCTGTCAAAATGATTTTGACAAACTGGAGAAATAGTCTGAATTAAATAGGATGAAATTCAATAGGACAAATGCAAAGTACTTAGGAAGGAATAATCAATTGTGCAAATGTGAAATGGAAGGGACTGCCTAAGAGAATATTAGAGAAAAAGATCTGGGGGTGGTTGTAGATCACAAGCTAAGTATGAGTCAACAGTGTAATGGTGTTGCAAAAAAAAGTGAGTACCATACTGGGATATATTAGTAGGAGAGTTGTAAACTATACACAAGAAGCAATTCTTCTATTCTACTTGCACTGTTAAGGCCTCAAATGGAGTATTGTGTACAGTTCTGGGTGCCATATTTCAGGAAAGATATGGAGAAAGTCTAGAGAAGATGACAAAGCCTAGAAAACATGGCCTAATAGGGAAGTTTAAAAATAATTGTGTTTGTTTAGTCTGAAGAAGAGGAGATTGGTTTTATTTTTTAGAAGGGGAGGCAGCATAAGTCTTCATGTTATAAAATGTTATCACTTTCCTCTTTATAAATTGTTCTCCTTATCCTCTGAGGACAGGACAAGAAGGGACTTTAATTGCAGCAAGGGAGGTTGAGGTTGGGCATCAGGAAAAAACTTCCTGTCAGAGCAGTTCAGCCATAGAACAAATTATATAGTGAGGTTGTGGAATACCCATCACTGAAGATTTTTCAGTGCAGGATAGACAGCGATGGCCTCAATAATACTTAATGCTGCCTCAGTGTGGAGGACTAGACAAGATGGCCTATCGAGGTCACTTCCCATCCTATAATTCTGTGATAAGTGTGCCAGTATCTTCGCTACAATTCCCCAATAGGGTGGATACGGAGCGGGGGTTGCACACATGAAACTGACCTGATATTGCTTGGTGTGGAGTTGGATTAACAACTTTCTGCTCTCATAAAACCAAACACCTTAACTCCGCCCCTTTCCTGAAGTTCCCATCCCTCACCCTCCGCTTGCTTTCCCCCACCCTCACTTTCACTGAACTGGGGCAGTGGGCGAGTGTGCAGGAGGGGGTGAAGAGGCAAACTGGTTGTGTGGGCTCCCATGGGAGAACAGAAATGAGAAAGTGAGGGCTCCGGCTGGGAGTTGGAGCTCTGGGGTGGGGCTAGGTAGGAAGGGGGTCAAGGCTGAGGTGTGAGAAGGATACAGGCTTTGGGCTGGGGTGTGTGCTTTATAATGGGGCTGAGCATGGGGGGCTCAGGGCTGGTGTAGGGTGGATGAGGGCTCCTGCTAGGGATGTTAGGACTCTGGCTGGATGTACAGGCTCTAGGGGTAGGGCTGGGGATGAGGGGTTTGTGATGCAGGATTGAGGCTCAGGACTGGGGCAGGGAATTGTGGATCAGGGATACTTCTGGCAGCTTCTGGTCAGTGGTGCAGTGGGACTAAGGGAGGCTCCCTACTTGTCCTGGCTCTGTACTGCACCCTGGAAGTGGCCAGCTAGGTCCGGCTCCTAGGTGGCCGATGGGGTGGGCGGGAGGAGAGGAAGCTCCATTCTCTGCTATCACCTGCAGGTACTGCTCCTTCAGCTCCCATTGGTCATGGTTCCCAACCAGTGGTCATGCAGAGCTGCTGCTTGCGTGGGGGGCAGCGCTTGGAGCCTCCTGGCTTCCTGCTTTTCTGGCCACTTCTGGGGCACAGCACAGATCCAGGACAGGTAAGACTAGCCTGCCTTAGTCCCTTAGCACCGCCAGCTGGTCTTTTAACAGCCTGGTTGGCTGTCCTGACTGGAGCTGTCTGAGTCCTTTTCTAACCTGGTATTCTGGTGAAAATCAGACACCTGGCAAGCTTTGGCTACCTTTGCTGTAATGAATAGCATTCAAACCTATCCAGCTCTGATGTAATGCTTATTTCTTATCCTCATGCAGTTACCATCGATCTGTTTCTGGCAGTAGGGCTGGAATATTCTAATTTTTGTTCCTTTTCACACCCCACTTTGTGTTTCAACAGCACTTTTGGTTTTTGTAGCATTGTTCATGCACTGTGATTGGCAGTACATCAGTGCTTCAAGTAATGTCAAAGTTAACTGATGATGAGCAATATAACAATATCTGTAATTGCCTTTGTTCTGGCAGTAACTTATGCCAGGTGTGGTATTGGTTTTGAGCTGGGTAAAGTTGGTCAGAAAACTGTATTTATTTCTTAATAGTTTTACCTTAACCTCCATGGAGCAACCAGTGGAGAAAGATGTCAGGAATGTTTTCTTGTATCCTTCAGAGGAGTTTCAGATCTAATCTCTCTGGAATCTTTCTAAATTACATAGGCAAAGGATTAAATATTTCCCTTGTGAAAGCTACTTTGATTATTTGAATTTGGCTATTGCTTTTTGATTGATTAAACCCATACAAATGCTTCAGCATCTTAACTTTTTTCTTTCAAGGCCAGCCACACTCAGGTTTGTTGCAGTCAGGAGTTATCAGCTGCTATGTTATGTATCTCACTTTCTCATCTCTGTCAAGCAAGCCACCAGAAACTAGTAAGTTATCTTGAGCTTTAATAAAGTCCTTTAAGTCATGCCACATCAAAAGTAAATGTGTTTAGGCCTTTGATTGTCTTGCCAAACAAATACTGCCAATACATGCGGTACCAAGCAGAAAGAGTTACAGATTAGACACTTGTCTGATCCTTTTTTTCACTTCTATCCAGTAGTTTTTTCTCCTTTACTATTTTAGTTGCCATTGAAATAAGATCTCTTGCTTCCCCCTAAAATCGATATGCCCCCAATTAACTAAGTGAACTTCCTAGTTTTTGTCCCCATTTTTCCTTTCACATGAAAAATTACTCTCAAGTCTTCTGTTTCAAGAGCATTTGGGTTGTATTGACTACTGTTCTCAGAGAACAAAAAATGAAGATTATTCCTAACCAGATATGTTGCGCATCTTTGTACTTCACATGCTTACTAACTAGAACACATTGGCTGCGTCTAGACTGGCATGATTTTGCGGAAATACTTTTAACGGAAAAGTTTTTCCGTTAAAAGTATTTCCACAAAAGAGCGTCTAGATTGGCACGGATGCTTTTGCGCAAAAAGTGCTTTTGCGCAAAAGCATCCGTGCCCAGTATAGATGCGCTTTTGCGCAAGAAAGCTCCAATAGCCCGATGGCTAAAATGGCCTTCTTGCACAAAAAGTTAAGGTGCCTGTCTACACTGGCCCTCTTGCGCAAGTATTCTTGCGCAAGTATTCTTGCGCAAGAGGGCTTATCCCTGAGCGGGAGCGTCAAAGTATTTGCACAAGAAGCACTGAATTCTTACATTGGAACGTCAGTGCTTTTGTGCAAATTCAAGCGGCCAGTGTAGACAGCTGGTTGCTTTTGCGCAAAATCTTGCAAGTCTAGACACATCCATTGTGTCTCATACTTACAGGGCATCTTCAGATGCCAGAAAATGTTGCTATTGTTTTTCTAACATTAAAGTTTCTAAAGTTTGGTTTAATCTCTCAGTTTTTCTATCAAGGACCCATTTTGGAATCTAACCAGACCCGTGGTCTAGTGAGCAGAGAGCCATTTTCTAAGTTCCAGAATAGATTTCTGTGATTCAGATGAATGGCACTAACACCTTGCTTTTAACCTCTGCAATTTAGGTTGTCACGATAAGACTTGTGTCCTTTTTACTAGAATAGCAGTAACTGGAAAAAGAACTGTGAGGAAAGACTTTTTGATGTGCAGGCTCTCATCTGCCTAGGGTGGTCACCTGTCAGAAGGCGAGTTAGAGAATTACACATTGGTAAATCTGAAAAAAGAAATCCAGTTTATAAGCAGGAAAACTATTATATTGACCATTTGTACAACTAAAGTGTCTTGATTTGGTGAAAGCAGACGTTCATTCCGGTGGATTGAAACTTAATGTTGGGGTTTAATATATATTATAAAATAGGGGAGAGCCATAAAGTAAATAAACACAGTGCATTATTAGTTTTGCTAATGACTAAAATATGCAACATCTCTACTAATGGAGGATGAATGCATGTGTAGTTATTGCTAGGGCCCTACTGAATTCATAGTCCATTTGTTTAATGTCATGGTCATAGGATTTTAAAAATAATAAATTGCATGATTTCAGCTAGAATTTCATGGTGTTGTAATTATAGTGATTCTGACCCAAAAAGATACTGTGGAGGGTTGCAAGGTTATTGTACCAGGATTGCAGTATTGCCATCTTTATTTTGTGCTCCTGCTGGTGGCAGTGTTGCCTTCAGAGCTGGGCAGATAGAGAGCAGCAGCTGCTGCTTGGGAGCCAAGGCCTGAAGGCAGAGCAGCTGCCAGCAGCAGCACAGAAGCAAGGATGTTATGGAATAGTGTGGCCCTTACTTCTCACTGCTGCCTACAGAACTGGGCCTTCAGTCTGCAGCTGCCACTCTGGCTGCCCAGATCTGAAGGTCCCAGTGCAGAAGTATGGGTGGCATGGTATGGTAATGATATGGTATGATACTGCCACTTTTACTTCTGTGCTGCTGGTGGTGGTCCCCCAGCAGCTCCCTTTTGGGTGAGAAACACTGGTCTCCCTTGGGAAATCGGTATAGTACAGAAGAAAGCACACACAAGACCAGACTTCACAATCCATGATGCCTTTTTTGTGACCGTGAATTTAGTAGGGCTCTAGTTACTGCATTTGCAAACGCATGTACTGTGCAGGTAGGTGTTAGAAATATGCCAGGCCGTGGCTCAAAGCAGATGGATTTGTCAAGCAAGAGAACCTTTGGGAAACAAAGGGCTATGCCAGCAATTTGCAGGAGCCTGAGGGTAGCACTTAACTTGTGTACATTTTAAAATAAAATGTGCCCATAACCTATTAGTTCTTTGTCCACAGTGCATCATTTCAGATCTAGGGTGGCCACAGGTCATATTTTAGTCCTTATTAAGCCTATATTTGACCCTGGGGCTTCCCTTAAAACATCCATCTCTTAAACATTCTACCGTATAATGTGACCCCAGCTTTCCAAACAGTAACATGTTTATAATGTATGTATAATTTTAAATTTCTTAAAATGTCTCTTGGCTCTTAAAAACAGGGGGAGGCGAAGTGTTGGTGAATGGCCCAGCCAAGAAGCTGGGATTGCAACAACTACCCCAAGGCCTAACCTTTCTTCTCTTCTCTTTTTTAAATATTTGTTTTAATCTGAAGTCAAAGGTGCCTCATTAATAATGCCTGTTTGTTGTTGTTGTGTTTTTTTAAGTCCTGGATGAGAACCATAAGAACATTACAATCTGTGCTCCTGACTTGAGCCAGGGCTGGCACACAGATGAGAATCTGGTGACTGGATTGGGCACTACCCTTCTGTTTTGTTGCATTTTATATTCTTGGTGAGTTTGGTTTGTTTGTTTGTTAAAATACCTTGTTGTAAATTAAGTGAAATGCAAATTAAAGCAATGGCTAAGAAGTAGAATTACACTAAAGGAGGGAAATTAATCTGATGAATCGTACTTCCCCACAATCCCAGAGTAGGTGGCTGTTTCTTCTGAAATGATCCGTGATGAAACAGTGAGCTCTGAACCCTCTTGATGATTTAGCTTTTATGAAAAGGAACCACATCTACGGGTGGAACAAAAATTTCCAAATGTGAACCAGTGCAGTGTTGTCTGTCTGAGTCCGCAGATGGTTTAACGAGTCCGAGGGCAGACAAGGCTACCTTGGCTCACATTTGAAAATTTGCTTAAGCATTAAGACCAGAAACATCACTTTCAGTAGAATTTAAGATTTTGTTGGAAAAGTATCACCACTAGTAGCTTCTCTGAGAGCAATTTGGATTTGGACATGGTTTGACGTTTTTAACTTGCTTTTAACTGTGTGGCAAACTGTAGTGGTACTGGGATGTTACTCTCTTCGTCCATGCCTGCCTAGGTAAAGTATCAGTCTACTAAGATTCCTGAATGCTATATGCACAGTAAATTGAGATGTGTCCTTCACATGTAAGTGGTCAAGGAGTGCTAGTGTTGAAAATCTGAATGTGAAATTGATTGGAAGCTCTTGTGAAACTGATGTTTCTTTGGGTTGTCCATGAGAGAAATGCAAAAAAAGCAAATGGTGAAAAGGACAGTAGACTTTCAAGAGTGCCAAACACCCTGGAATTGGAGCTTGTTTGTAACTCTGAACAAAGCATTATAGTTGTTCTTTCAAATGTTAACTGAACACTGGCTTAATACAGCTTCGACACTTGACTACACAGAAGAAAAATGTTGCTTTCCCTTGGTTTGTTTAATAGTTTGCATTTAACACAGTACTATACTGTATTTGTGGTGGGTTGGTTTGTTTTTGTGTCTCTGCTGCTGCCAGATTACGTACTTAGGTGTTCCAGTTGAGGACTGCTCAGCTCATAATTCCGAGGCTTTTCTATATTTGATTTTTTTTTTGTTTTAATTTTCATATTCAGTGATTTAAAGGATGTTGTTTGTAATCCAGTGAAAGACACTTTCGTTAAGATAAAACTTCTTCTGACTATCTTCTTGAAGAAATTCTAATAGCTTTACAATTCTTAAAATTAGGCTCAGCTGAAGAATAAATATATTGACCTGGAAAGTAAATACAAGAAAACGGCTACTGTGGTGCAGCAATAGCATGCCTGTTTAAATAAATATTTGGAATACATGTAGTATTAAAAATCAAAAATCCCTTGCAAAGCCTTTTGGTCTGTAGGTAGAGGGAGTTCTGACAGAAGAACCTGTTTGGGGTGACATTGAGACTGCCTTTGAACAAGCTGGTGCATCAAATCCTAATATCTGCAGAAACCAGGCTACATTGGTATTTCTTATCAGTCCTGAATCTGATCACATCAGTCCATGCATTTATGATATCCCAGTTAGTAGTATTGCAGTTCCTATCTAGGAATGAACCAGGAAAAAGCTCCCAATTGCTTAGCAACACAAGTTGCCTTGGGACTATACTACATTGCTCTCAGCTTTGCACTAGCTCTTCACTGAATAAGGGTCCAGTTCAAAATCTCCATCCTCCAAGAATTCGGCCTTTCCTGCCAGTGCCACCTCAAGGGATCTGTCTTAGGTGGTGCAACCAGGTCTCTCATCTAGAGAAACCACACAGCCCAGGTAAGGCCTGTTAGACATGGAACTTGCCATGAATCCATATATTTACGATATCTGTTTTTGATTATTGAAATGACCTCGGATTACATTTGCTTGCTATGGGAATAATGAATCACCCAATCAAAGAGGAAAACAGAAGACATTATGGAAGACGGAATTTTTCAAGGACTTGGAAGTAGGCAGTGTAGCATTCTTTCAGGAAGAGTAGGACCACAAATACTACCACGTTCATAATTAAATCAGAAACGCCTTTCTTTGTGGCTTGCTCTTCAGTGTGAGACCAACAGACCTCTAAATGGTGGGAAGGAAACAAGTGGTAGAGAATGTTGTTCTGTTGTTAAATGTTTCAGAAAAGCTCATTTACTGCAGTGTTGGAGTCCATAAAGTATCTAGAGAGTTTGTGTAACATATCTTGAAAAAAGAGGAAAGATGAGTAAGATCTGGTTTCATAGAGAAGTGGGGTGGAAACTGGTAAGAATTCCTCCAAAAATAAGACTTTACAGGAACTGTATGGGAGTAATATAGACTTCCTAGCAAAATAGTTTATAAATAAACTGATTATTTCTGTCTGCTACTTCTGAGTTTCTGGTATCTACAAGGCTGTAATTATGGCTTTTATTACAGGATCAGTCAAAGTAATTGCTGTAATATAGTCTGAAATGGCAAAATACCTGTTATGCATAGCAGGGAGAACCTCTTCTGAAATGCAAATCAGTGTGTTTTCACTTTTATGTTGACTGCTGGCTAGTGCATTGACATTAATAGAAATTGTCTAGTTTATTTTTCAGTTCATGACCACAGCCTTGGTCAGATGGTGGTTATTTTGATGCTGTAGATTTCTACTTGCACAGAATAAACCTTTCCAAAACTTAGCACTTACCCTAAGGATCCAGTCTTGCACCCACTGAAATAAATAATAACTAGGCTAGAAGGTTATGTCTGCACTGCAGCTCCAAGCAACACTCCCAGCCTGTATAAATCTGTGCTAAGTTTGTTTGAGCGTATGCTAAACTCAGATGCCTAGTTCTTTGTGGCTCTGGCAGGCATTTGACCTCACCACTCGCACTCAGCTCCAGGAACTTGAGAGCCTGAACTGCAGCTAGAGCCACAGCATTCGTAATGCTAGCAGGCTACCTGGGAGGCTCACCCCCATCTACCCATGTAGACCTTCCCCCAGAGAGTGCTGAGTATCACAGGAAACGTACTTATGCTGAATGCTATGGTGCTGTCTTCTCTTTATCTTAGTTTGACCTCAACAACACGTGCAGGCTCCGAAGCGCTGAGAGGAATATATGCAACGCCTGAAACGGAAGTGAGTTACTGTTCCTCTGAACTCTGACAGACTGCCTCTCCCCACTGTACCATCTCGCTGCTGACAGTCATGCTACTTGCCTTCTGATTGTGTACACTGTGAATTTAGAATTTGCAGCTAGAATTTAGGATGGCACAAAGGGATCAGCTGCCTCTTGAGCAACCCCTGATGGCCACATGTGGCTCTACAGGGCTCCCCTCTTCCCCCTTTCAGGGCCCCTCAAGAACTCCATGCAACATGTCTGTAGTTCAGAATACCCTTATTAATAATCAAGTTCTCAAATCCCCGTCGCATGTGTGTTCTCAGTCTTCCTGCTGGGGGGGATCCTCCCAGAGTTTTCCCTGCCTGGAGTCAGTTCATTCCAAGTAGTCTTCCACAGTTCCCCTTGATAATTTAGGGTTGGCTGGTCCCAGGCATTAAGGGGCAAGCTGCCCTGTTACAGCTAGTTAAGTTTCACACTGCACATGTTCTTCCTGTTAAGAAAAGTGGAATTATCCAGATATTTCCTGCATCCTTTTGGCCAGGGCTGGCTCCTCAGCAGCTCCTGCTGGTCCCTCTGAACACTTGCTTAATGTACCCTAAATAGTATGCTGCTTTTCTTGCTGTTTTTTCCTTCTTTCTTCAGGATTCCAAAGTATTAAAGTTGTATTCAACTGGAAAGTGACTATTCTCCAGAAGCTCCCTTCTTCTTAGAGGCAGAAAAGTCAATATTTATTAATTGGATAGCTAAGATAAGATTTGTTCTATTTTAGTTGTGGAACAGGGCATTTGAGAAAATTCAAAGTTAGTAAAATGTGATCAAAACTATTAGTGCTGTAATCAGTTTCTTAATCTCTTCCCAGTTCAAAACACTCACTCTTTGTTTTCTTCCCTTCTGTGACTTCCATTTCTGGCATTTTTACAGTGAAAAAGATAATATACTGGGACTACTGAGTGAACAGTCATGCTGTATGTAATAAAAGCAAGCCGTTCTATTGCATACACACATGTATACATATGTATATACATTCACAAATGTATATTATATAAAAGGTATATTATACCAGCTGGCTTCAGACTGAATTCCCACTTCCATTCTAGTCCCCTTGTTTTAGTTGCTGTAGCTTCCATTCCAGGTAGAAATGTCCGTATTAGGTCTTATCCAAAGGTGAATTCCGTGGAAAGTTTGAGCAAAATAACTCAACTCACTTATGAGCATGAAAAAAATTAAAATAAGCTTTTCTAGCATGGTCATTCATAATTCGTGTACCCTGCTATCTAAATGGGTCAAGCTAAAGTCTTCAAATTCAGCTTTCTTCTCTTGTAGTTCTCAGAGTCTTAGAGCCTGATTCTATGTGCTACAAATGCTGCTTTCTGGGTGTCATGAAAATTTCCACAGAATCTACACTTTCATAATGTCACCTTTAAAAGTGTTGTTTCTAGCCATTCTTGTTCTCAAAGAGAAGTATTTAAAATACTGTAGTAATTAGCTTTGAGTATATTACACCATGCAGGCAGTACTCATATACATCTTTTGGAAAAATAGCAACTGTTGCTTCTGACTGAATATTGAATAGATACTATTAACCAGAGGGGCTGGAATTAGGGGTGTGGAGGACGCTGAAGCACCCCTTTCCTTGAAATGGTTTCCATGATATCCAGGGATTACTCTTTGATCCAATGGCCCTCAGCATCCCCACTATAAAAATTATTCCAGCCCTCCTGCTATTAACACTCCGTTTTGCAAAATCACTCTACTTGAAGCGTGTGTGCCTGGCATTTGCATATGCACTTTTCTGCTGACCCTCTGTGCTGGATCCCAGTGCTCATTTTTTGTCTGCTTACCAATCTGTTGTGCCCACTGTGACCCATGATAGCACTTGAGCTGCCTCAGACCCCAGTCTTGTCTTGCCAGTGTGAAAGTTGAAGCAGTTCAAGCTTTATTAAACGTTAGAATGTGAATTGCTGAATGGGAAGCGGAAGACACTGGTTGGCACGGTAATGACCTGGTAACCCTGGGCCATTCGTTTGAGAAGGCTGAACTGCTTCACTACAGCACAAAACAATAGAGTTATTTCTAAATCATTTGGTTTTAAAGAGCTGTAGGAGGGCTGGTGCATGTGCATATAAAGCAGTGTCAGGCAATGGCCAATTAATTGCATTCTGATTTGACTTCCCTGTGATAAAAGGCCTCTGTCTTTTGGCAAGAAATGTAAACACAATTCTGCAGCTGCATTTATTTATACAGAGTCTTTCTGAATCTAAACTAGAGATAATTAATAGCTCTGAATGGCTATTTGTATGCCTGCCAACAGTACTGATTACATCACTTAATGTGCAAGGCCTGAATTTCTAACACGTGTCACTAAAGAGAAAGCATGTCTTAGCCTGGCATTAGCTTCAATATCTAGATGTAGCCAAATAGTGGAAGCTAAAGGAAATAGATTTTGTCTAAATTTAACTTACAAAAATAAAGAACCTGTTAAATCAAACCATGTAAAGAGTAATTATTTTCCTGTTTCAATGAACGTAGCCAATATCTTGAACAGGAACTTTGCTAGTCTTTTTTGTCATCTTTTGCATGCAGAGAGTTGTTTGTCGAACAAAGCCAATGGGAAAATCCTAATCTATTGAATTGAAGTATAAAGATTACAACTTAATTTCTTGATATGTATATTTTATTGCATTAGAAAAACCAATAACCCTCACTCGCTTCCAAAATGAAACCGCAACATGTAAAATAACAGATAATGTTGGAGATGTATAAAATGCAAGGGTTGGCCATATGTTGTGAATTGTGCAGAAGAAGAAAAATACTGAGAAAACATACAATAAAAGTGCAGTGTTGTATTTTAGAAGTTAGTGGAAATAATGAAAACATGCTGGCCATACCTAAATGCATTTCAGAACTGTCAGTATGCCCCAGTGAAGAACTAGCTTTTAGACCAAGAAATGAGACTTATCCACCAAAACAAACCAAAAATTAGTTACATAAAATAGCATAGAAATAAAGTAATTTTCAGTTTACCACTACTGATTCCAACCATGTTAATATCCAATTAAGTTTGATGCTTATAGTTGTATAATCAGTCCTTCTGAAGGTAGTCAAATCTCTAATATTTCTCTCATCCTCATTTCTATAAAGAAATATTACTTTTAAAATATTTACGACTTAGATCTGAAGAAGTGTCTACAGTACACAGCCATCTTATAGCACTACTCCACTGTAACTATAGTACCCTGCAGCAATTTGAATATTATGATATAAAGAGGATAAGTGCAGTATGTATCTTTATAAATAGTTTATTAACACCAACACTTGCAGAGTAGCTGCCTAACTTCCAAAAGTTCTATTGCTGTATATTGTTTGGCTATTCCTGATAGAAGGCTTTAACCGTTGTGTCTGTTGTAAATATAGGAAACAAGATTTTTTTATAAATTAGGATTGGTAATTTAGGCACAGTACGCTCATTGAATCTGATGATCTGTTTCTCTGTTGTTGCATGACGTGTCATTGTTAACTTTGTGTCTGCCTTGTAGGTAGCTCGTTGCTGCTTTTGCTGTGCACCAGATGGAGATGGTAACTATGCATCCCTTATATGCTTTGCTTAGCATTGCTTGTGCCCGTTAAACCAAACCCCAAGAGTATAATTAAGGCAAAGGCCAGTATATATAAAGGTGCATCTGTCCTTAATTCTGTGGAAGTTGGAACATCTTCAGCAGCGTGACATGCATAAAAAATATTCACGAACTAAGACCACTCAGGAATGTTTTGATTTTATTTATTTCAAAATCTGTATAGTTTTTTGTCATTTGGAAAATATTTTTTTCCATTCCACCCTTCAGTGGTTCATCTCTCTTTTTTGCATTGTCTAAAATAAAAAGGAGTCTAATGTGACTATCTTCTCTGAACATAACTGGATGTGGGGAAAGGATATGTCCTGCTGTCATTGCCAGATTTGTGTCTTTAGCATTCTGTGTTCTGCTCCTGTAGTCAGCCTCTGGGTGCAGGAGCAACAGCAAATCGTATACCCTCTGTTAGAAGACCCAGTGATGTTGGGACTCTCGCTGTGGTATCAGCCACCTATCACCAACACACAGTGAGGAAGCTCAGGATCCCATATTCAGAATAAACGCTTGAATTCGTGACAGCATTTAAACATATATGCTTAAATTCCATTCACTTCAGTGAGGTTTTAGCATGTGCCTGAAGTCAAGGGCATGCTTAGGTGTTCTGGTGGATAAGGATATTTAAGTGAATTAGGCTTAAAATTGTTCATTTTAATTATTCTATAGAATGCAAACTCTACCACTGTTTCCATTCTCGTGTGAAGCAACTTCTTATTTCTTCTTTCATACAGCTGACTCTGAAGAGTATGTTGAAAGAAGGGGAGGTCAGACTGTAATTTATGATGAAAATAGAGGCACAGTGTACAGTTATGCCTTCTTCCACTTCATTTTCTTCTTGGCTTCCCTCTACGTGATGATGACAGTAACTCACTGGTTCCAGTAAGTAAACTTCAAGAATTAATCATAGAACTGGAAAGAACTTAGAGAGGTCATCAAGGTCAGACCGCTGTACTCATGTCAGGACCAAAGCACCATCTAGACCAGTGTTTCTCAACCAGTGGTACAAGTACCCTTATGGGTACTCTAGAGGAGTTTGTGGGGGTACGTCAACACAACTGAAATTTAGAGAACTGAATTTTTGTTTTAAGTTTTACAGTGCTTTTGTACTTTTTACACCCAAAAATTGCATCGCCCACCCAGCTATGAGTAAGTTGTTTAAACAGATGTTGCAATGGTAAAAAAAAAAAAAAAAAAAAAATGTCTGAAAACTAGGTACTGGGGATACTTATTTTTTTAAGGGTACTTTATAAAAAATGTTGAGAGAGACTTATCTAGACCATCCCTGATAGATGTCTATCCAACCTGCTCTTAAATATCTCCAGTGATGGAGATTCCACAACTTCCTCACTAAGCAATTTATTCCAGTGTTTAACCACCCTGACAGGAAGTTTTTCCTAACATCCAACCTAAACCTCCCTTGTTGCAATTTAAGCCCATTGCTTCTTATCCTATTCTGGTTAAGGAGAATAATTTTTCTGCCTCCTCCAGTTCTTTCAATGATCCCTCATAGGTCATGTTTTCTAGACCTTTAATCATTTTTGTTGCTCTTCTCATGTCTTGATTACAACACTCCTGTTAGTACATCCCAGAATGATGTTTGCTTTTTTTGGCAACAGTGTCACACTGACTCATACTTAGCTTGTGGTCCACTGTGATTTCTAGATCTCTTTTTGCAGTACTTCTCCCTAGGCAGTCATTATCCATTCTGCATGTGCAAAACTGATTATTCCTTCCTAAGTGGAGTACTTTGCATTTGTCCTTATTGAATTTCATCCTGTTTACTTCAGACCATTTCTCCAGTTTGTCCAAATAGTTTTGATTTATAATCCTACCTTCCAGAGAACTTACCATCCCCTCCCCACATGGTATCGTCCACAAACTTTGTAAGTGTACTCAGTATGCTGTTATCTAAATCAGGGAAGAGCAATAGTTTTTGATCGGGTAAGGGGGCACAAAGAATTTAGTAAGTGGTCAAGGGACACACCTTTTTGTGATATTAATGAGGGGTGCAGGGTCTTTGACAGAGGTTGGGTGCAGAAAGGATCTTGGGGTAGGGTATTGGGGTGCAGAATGGGGTGTGGGGTCTGGGAGGGAGTTTGGGTGAAGGGAAGGGACTGTGACTTAGGGCAGGTGATTGGGGTACAGGAGGAGATACAGAGTCTGGAAGGGGGTTTGGGTGCAGGAGGTGATTCTGACCTGGGTGAGAGGTGTAGGAAGAAAGGGGTGCAGGGTTTGGTCGGGAGGCGCGTACCTTTACCCAATTTCTGGCCAATGGGAGCTACCAGGATTATGCTGGGGGCAGGAGCAGTGCATAGAGGATCCTTCCCTTCCTCCCCCCTCCCCCCCTTCCCACAAGAGCATGCACCACGAAGAGACCCTCATGCTGGCTGCATTGAGCTGCGTGTGTGGGGCTGCAGCAGGTAGGGAGGTAGCCTGAGGGTCTTTTTGGGCCATGGGACATTGGCAGCTCAGATGGTGGTAGTGGGCTAGATCTGAATGTTTAAGGGACTGGATCCAACCCATCCGTCAAATTTTGCCTGCTTCAATCTAAATAATTGATGAGATATTGAAAAGAACTGGTCTCAAAATTACTAGTTAGATCTTTCCAGCATAACTATGAACCATTGATAACTGCTCTCTTGGAGTGGTCATCCAGCCAGTTATTCGCCCACCTTATAGTTGTCCCATCTAGGTTATTAATGAGAAGGTAAAACGAGACTATCCAATGCCTTACTAAAGTCTAGATCAGGGTTGGGGAACCTGGGGCCGGATGCAGCCCCTGGCTTGCCTAGATCCAGCACCAAGGCTCAGGGCTCCCCCCCAGCACTGGGAAGCCCATGGGGCTGGAGCACACAGCGTCTCCTAGCCTGGGCCCCATTTGACTTTGGTGTGCGAAATGTGGGAAGTGTCTTTCTCCTCAAGGGTCACGTCAGTGAGGGTTTGTTTTTTCGCTTCTGACTTTTGTGCTATCCCTGACTGATTTGTGTCTGTCTGTCTGTCAGCGGCTCCCAATCCAAAAAAGGTTCCCCACCCCAGTCTAGATATACCACATCTACTGCTTCCCCTTATCCACAAGGTTTGTTATCCTATCAAAGAAAGTTGTCAGGTTGGTTTGAATCGATTTTTTTTCTTTACAAATTCATGCTGTTACCTATCACCTTATTATCTTTTAGATGTTTGCACATGGATTCCTTAATTATTTCCTCTGTTGTATTTCCTGGTACAGAAGTTAAGCTGCCTGAACTGTAATTCTCTGGGTGGTCCTTATTTCCCTTTTTTATAGATGGGCACTATATGGGCTCGTCTACATTGGCCCCTTTTCCGGAAGGGGCATGGTAATTTTTGAAATCACAATAGGGAAATGCGCGGGGGATTTAAATATCCCCCGCGGCATTTAAATGTCCGCCGCTTTTTTCCGGCTTTTAGAAAAGCCGGAAAAGAGCGTCTACACTGGCCCCGATCCTCCGGAAAAAGCGCCCTTTCCCTATTGCGCATTTCCCTATTGCGACTTCAAAAATTACCATGCCCCTTCCGGAAAAGGGGCCAATGTAGACGTAGCCTATATGTCCTTTTCTGGTCTTCTGGAATATCTCCCACATTCCACAGCTTTTCAAAGATAAAGAAAAATTTAACAGTGATGTAGTGTTACCAAATGACTCTCAGTGTGAGAGTACAGTTGAAATACCCTATCCTGGAGCACTTACATTTTATCTGCAGATGTATGTGGTTGAGAGAGAGAGAAAATATGCAGATCTGTCCTGGTTTGTCCTATTACCTGAACAGGAACCCAGTCTACAAAGAACTATTCACCTGGTCCCAGGTTCAGAATTCAGTTGCTTAAAGTCAGTAACTATCCCAAAATGATCACAGAGAAACAAAATGTAAAATAGGAATGGTGAATGTAAAAGCTTACTGCATTTCTTACAACCTTTCCATTTATCTCTTTAACAGTTATGAAGGTGCTGAGATTGAAAAATTCTTCACTGGAACCTGGTCCACCTTTTGGATTAAGATGGTGTCATGTTGGGTGTGTGTCGCCCTCTACTTATGGACCCTTGTAGCACCTCTCTGCTGTCCAACCAGACAGTTCTCAGTGTGAAATTCACAAGTGCTATTGTTACAAATACAATACATCAGTTCCTTTGATGGAGAAATACATCTATTAATCAGGTGTCTTAAGATCCTGGTTATTTACTTTTTGTCAAATGAAACTCTGGATCAGAAGACTTCTTCTTTTTAACCCTTTTTTTAAACTGTCTAAACACAAATGGAGCTCAAGGAACACAGTATCTGTTCAAGAACAGAGTTGAAACACTGATGAGGGAGGGTGGGGAAAATATAGGTAATGTTACATAAACTGGAACAAATAAAACAGTTGTAGAATAATTGACAATCTGATCTTATTGGCAAGAAAAGCAAACTTAGTGCGAAGTGTGCATTTCCCTCCTATAGAATGGCAGATACTTTGTAACAAAAAGAAACATATTTGTTTTTGTACTTCCCATATTACTGATGCTGTTTACAGTGATTATAATGATTTAAATTCAAACTATCCTCTTATACTGTACACAAGTCTTGATACCTGTCTTCAGATAACTTTCTCCACAGAGGCACCTAAAATACTACTTGACTAGTTGAAAACTAGTAAGATTTTGACTGGGAAGGGAGTTGGGCAATGTATCTGCTGAGACGTTTCTAAATATATTAAATGACTCAATATATTAAGTTATTGCAAATATTGAATGATAGAGAAACATACCAATGGCAATAGTAATATTTATTATGTAAACTGAAAGGCACCTTTTAAGTACAATTGAAGCGGTAGGTGACATCTGTCTGAAATATTCAGAGATGCTAGATATTGTAAAAGGAAATGCTGTTAATATATATACTGCTCTCTTCTACCGAAGCTAAAGAGTTGTGTAATTAAAACAGACCCAATTATCAGCAAAATGTGAAGGTTGCACATGTAATTTAAATTATCTTAATGGAATTCTGAGGGATTTGTGTGTCAAGTGGTAACTGAGCGCAAACTCCCCAGTCTGCATAGGCATATTATGCATGGTACATTTTTTTTTTAATTAAAGAAAAATCACAGCGTGCCACATTTAAAAAAAATAAAAAAATGAAATGCTAAGCAAATGTTGGGGAACATTACTCAACATCTGTAACTTTAAAAATAAGAGAGCTGAGCATTTTTTTACCTCTTTTATACCCGCATTTAGAGGTTTCCCTCTGATTTTAAACTCCAGTTTTCACTACTTATTTCTTAATGCTTTAAAGTTTAGTTATGATGACCAGGAAAAGAACAATGTAAAATGACATCCCCGTATTCCATTGGTCTACTTATAGATATTCATAATTGTGCACTTTTTGAAGGGGGGGGCGGGGAGGGTGGAAGGAAATATTTCTTTACTAGCTGTACTGGCAAATCAGTGCTATGAGAATGTGAGCTAGATTCTGTCCTGATGACACCTCGTTAACAGATTATCCAGGTAAATTCCATGTAGAAATGCTTCCCATCAAGTTTAAATGATTTTTAATGTGAATAGAACAAATTTGATCAAGAGATTACTGAGCCAATAAACATGGACTTCACATTACCATTTTTAGTTAGTTTCCGGGTTAGAACTACATTTTACATATGTTATCCCGTATATAAATAAAAAGAAACCAATATGAATCCTTCTGAATGCCAGTAGGTTTAACACTAACCTATTCCTACCATTTTGTCAAGAAAAGAGGGAAAGAAAGGAAATTATCCATTTTGATATGACTCTGCAAAAAGTTAGTGAGCTTTACATTTGTGCTGGCCAGAAGCTGGGAATGGGGGATGGGTCACTTGATGACTACCTGTTCCGTTCATTCCCTCTGAAGTATCTGGCATTGACCACTGTTGGTAGACAGGATACTGGGCTAGATGGACCTTTGGTCTGACCCAGTATGGCTGTTTTTATGTTCACTGTCCTTTTACTTGGATTCTTTCTTTAGGAATAGAATACTTATAACTTAGGGATTTTTTTCTTTTAGCAATTATGTGATTCTGATGTAAGTTAGATGTTCTATCAATCATGCCTAGATCGTTCTGTATTGCAATAGTTATGGTAGTTCTTTACTTCCATATTACTGATAACTTGGCACTATAGTTTGTTCTGTTAATGCTGTTTCCAAGATTTGTTCTGTTAATGCTGTTTCTAGTACTTAATATGCGTATCAATGGCATCTGTGCACTGAGGATTGAGGTGGAAAATTCTGGTTCCTGGCTTTAGCAGACGTTAGAGGCAGTATTTTAATATCCAGGGTATAGATACACTACTTTTGTCAACTTACTGTTTGACTTTCCTTCTCTCCCAGATCCCTTCCCTAAACAACCGTTATAAAAACGAGAAATGCCATCCAGTGCTAGCCTTCCAGTACTGTATTTAACAACTCAGTAAAACAGTTTGCTTAATGCTAAGAACCATCATTTAAATGAAGAACAGAAATAATCCTTTCCCCTGTGCTTGGCCCTTAAAGCCAATTCAAGTAAAAGGTGTCTGGGCTTTCTACTCAGAGAGGCAGAAAGTAACTCATTTTGGGGTTTCAGTGGCTCTGAATATGACTCTGCAGTGGTTGAATTACTCCTACTCCCTGCACATTCCTCTTCCCCAAGCACACTGTGCAGCTCCTGTAACCTTACATTACTAATCCCACTGTCCTCAGGGGCTTAATGTCAGAATCCCCTCTATGGTGAAAACTGATATGTGGATTTCTTTGGTATGGTTGTGAATTTTTCTCCATTCACCGCCTGTCTTTACCCCTCCCCCACAAACACAACCTCAGCTTAAGTAAGTTTTGCTGTTACGTTACAATGGTGGCCAAATAGTTTCCTGGGGTTTGATAATGTTTCCACTATGAGGTTCCGATTCTGCGAAGTCCCATTAATGCCTCATTGAAATTTGGAATAAAATGAGAGTGAGCGCCATGAGATAATACAGAGAATTATTTTTTCAAAAGAGAAGAAATTATTGCTAGTGTTAACCAGACAAGAGAGTCAACTGAAAAATCCAATTCATGATTCTGATCCAGATACAGTTTTTTTATAATTAGAGTTTTTTTCAAACGGGTTTGATTTGGTTTTAGTACTCTGAACTGCAATTGAAGTACTATCCAGAAAATCTGAATTAAATTCCCCAATGTCCAGATATCTGTAAGTATAGTATTGAGTACCATAGACATCGATGGTATGAAAAACAAATAAGTTTTGCAATATGGAACAATATGGGATCTTAGCACCATAACAGAGAGCCCTCCAATATACAGAACTATACAGTTAAGAATATTTAACCATTTTTTGGATTGGGTGGCCTATACTCTTAATCTTAGACTATATTATGATTTAACTCCTTCACGTTTTTTTAAAACATATTGGCCAGGGCATCCACATTCTTCAAAAAATAGAGACTTTCTGCATAGGCAGTATCTTGGTATTAAAAAAAATCCTTATTATGTATGCACTGCATACTCACTGTAATTCAGTTTACTTAAGGCAATAGCTATTTTGCACAGAGGAAATGATGGCCCCATAAGGAAAGAAGACTCACTTATGAGGCACCTTAAAAAATAGTTTAGTAACACTTTATAGACTAAAACATGTAGATGGTATCATGAGCTTTCATGGGCACAACCCACTTCTTCAGATGACCATCATTCACACACCCCAGAACTTGTTTCCCTGAGCCCACCCCACAGACACACCTCACACAGTGCATGTGGGTAGTGTTTGCAGAATGTGGGTAGGATGCAGCAGGGGCATGACTCTACACTGCTTTATCCCACTGCAAACTGTTGTGTGAGCCATGCTACCAGAGGGTGAAAACCCAGAGAGAGGTTTGTAGTACCTGTCCCTTCACGCAGATGTCCAAAATCCATGTGGATCACTGGACATCAGTGCAGATGGAAAGCCATGCCTTGTTCCCATTGCTGGAGAAGATGGCATCACCTTCAGACACCTTGAGTTTAGGCCCACGGAGTTTCCTCAGCAATGAATTCCCTTCTGCATGGCAGGGGAATATTGGGGACTTTAATGTAATTTAAAACCAAATTCTACTGTGAACTTCCTATTGACAGCTACTTGTATGGTTCCTAGAGTGGGATGTTAAGGTCTGCCACAATTCAGGATATCCAGCTCATTGGTCAGTATCTGCTCAGATGAACATGCATTTTGAAAAGTGCCCATTATGCTACCTCTGCCATAAATGATAATTTAGTTGAGACTAAAACTGGAAGAACTGAACTGAGCCTTTGATTCAATGGTGCTGCCTCATACACTAGCTCTGACACCTCCACTACACTAACTTTTACTGTGCATAGGAAAATCTTTTTTTTTTTTCTTCCTATACTTGGCAAACGTCTGTGGTAGGGCTCTGATGCAGATGACTGCTGTGCAGTGATCAGGAATAGGAAAGACTTACAAGGATGGAATGAGAAGCCTCTTGTGTCTAATGCTTCAGTGTTAAATAAAATGTTTAGCGTGTATTAGAACAATAGCCAAATAAGTAGGAGCAAAACTTTTTCTCCACATACATTTATTTTGTAAGCTAGAGAACCATACCCACTTGATTTTGCTTGACATCCATGTTGAATTTTGCCCAGGCACGTGCCTTGTATATATCTTGGGGGAGGGTGTCTTATTTTGGAACTTAAAATGGGTTGTGTTAGTCTGCTGTCTAAACTTTGCATGAACCTTGAAAGCTACACATTTTTTTCACAAGGAGGAGTTTCTCCACCTCTGTGGGAAGGAGGAACATGCTACTGTTAATAGTCAAAATACGTTGTTCTTTTGTTTCTCCTTCCAAAAGTCCATTCCAGTGTAATTTGTATTTAAATGAAAGGCTGGTTCAATTCTTTTTTCAGGAAAGCCTCTTCTATTGGAGACCTGGGTGGTACGACATGGAAGGTTGCTTTGCAGTAAACTTGTGGTGTTTTGTGGTTGTTTCCCTGCTACTTCAAATACTCAGTTGGTTCTGAATATTTTTCTTCCTTCCTTCTACCTTCTACTTCAGCCTGGAGCAAATATCCATTTATTTGTGGTAGCGATTGCAATTAAAGCATTTTTGGGAGCTGCGATTCATTCCAGTTAGAAGTCAAGTTGACTTTGGAGGGAGTAAGCCTTTAAACCCAAATAGCTGGATTAGCAGGGGAGGCCAAAAACCCTCATGAGGACCGTGTGAAAGGCAAATGGACTTGTCTGTGCTCCACCTTCCCTACAGTGTGGTAGTTCTTCAATGTATTCAGGCTCCATGAGCAGGCAGATGCTGGGAAAGGGGAACTCCTCTCTGGTTCTGGTGCAAATTGTTCTCATGTTTGAAAGGACCACGTTTTATGCTTACCTTTAAATGAAACTTAGTAAGAGTTCAAACTTTGGATTCCCTTTTTAAAAATATTAAGTCAAATACTTACCTATTTAAATCTGTTACAGCTTTTCTGGGGTAGCCTGGGTTTTCAAATATTCCCTTTAGAGCTGCTCCAATGTGTCTCACTAAGAGAGACTGAGGACTGCAGTTTTGATAGATGTAAGACTTTTCTGAAACAAGTGTTGCTAACAGAAGTGGGTCTGAAGGCTTTTCCTCACAGAACCACAAACACTACATGACATTTATTTTCCTATAGATCTTGTTACACGCCTCAAGTGTTTTATGAAATTATGAGCTATGATTGCAGAGGTATCACTTGGCGAGTTGCCACAGCTCCTCAGGGATCTAAAACAGAGGAGAGTGATTAATGTGAGTCACTCTGTTTGCAAACACCTCTGTAGAGATATCAACCCCTGGGATTGTTTGAATGCCATGGTTCAAACGAAGTTTCCAGAGACCTATGGACAAAGGGCTTTTGGCATAAAAAGTCTGAGTTTTTAAATTGAGACTGGGCCTTCTTTATAATTCAGCAAACAAGTCAGGACCTTTTGTCTAGCCCTTGCATAAAGGTTGGAGAAATCTTGGCTTAGGCGGACCCCATGTTACTGGTGACCTCGAAAGCTTTAAAGTATGTGTATTGTATTTGTTTTCTCTGTAATGCTTTTACTCTAATGTGCTTTGCTTTGTGAGGCATGGTTAGTAACGGGGATACACTGTTGTAGCCTTTATAGAAAGATTAACTGGTCAGACCTACTGGGGGAAATCAGAGTGAGGTGTAGGGGGAAGGACTACAGACCTAAGCCCCCAGTCTGGCTGGAAAGAGAGACAATTGTCCCTGACAGGTGATAGATGGAATTCTGAAACTTTAAGCCGGTGCCCTTGAGGAAGACTGGGATTGGGAACAAGCAGTTAACCCTGAAACCATGATAGATTGCGCCAATCAAGAAAGCGTTAGCACCCTCATGCAGAAGTTTAATTTCTGGCAGTACTTTATTTGCAATCAGAATGTAACTACCCTGCATCTAGGACACCAGGCTAATCAACACGTTTTAAAAACTGAGCTGGAATCTTTAATTGGAGCAGTAACACAACAATCCACTGACTTTGCTAGTTATTTCTAACACTTGAACAGAAGACTGTAAAATTACAGTGGCCTCATTTTAGTTTTAATTTTTTGGCAACCAGAAATATTTGCATGTCTCTTCCTCAGTCTGTGGGTCCTTGTTTTCTTAGACTTCTCTCTCCTTGATATCTTAAGAAAATATAAGCAACTGAAAACTGGCCAAATTCCTACTCCTAATTTCTAAAATTGAGAAGTGTTTTCAATGATAGAAAGGAACAAAAAATACCAGGTGATTTCTCCCCCCCCCCTCCCCCCCGGAGTTGAGGGAGAAAATGGGGATCAGTTCTATACTCAAAACTGACCCATATACTTTGTGCCTCCATGTCTCCATGGTAAAATTGCATCTCTTTCTGTAAAGCAGTACCCTGCCTTTGCTGTCCATAATTTCTTGAAGGAGAAACATGCATCATGAATGAAGGTTAATTTTATTCTGTTAATATTCTGTTTTCTAAAGTATTGTGTACTGTAAACTTTGTCTTTGCATGGGTGCTTCACTTGCCTCTGCGGAAGAAAATCCCAGGAACCATATATTTTAAAGGCAGTGATTCTTTTTTATATACTTTTACTCTCAGTGATCCAATCCCCTCTTAACATATATTGTTGTACTTTCCACATGTGAAGGGCAGGACACCCCACAAAAGAAAATGGGTGCGGGAGGTAGAAAGGGATGTTCACACACATGCATGCTCCCCTTTGCTCCCCACCCCACTCCTCAGTTGGGACAGGACCTTTGGCTTGGATTAGTTAGGACTATCATGATGATTTAGTGTCTAATATGAGAGGAGACTTTATAACTTAGCAGTTGAGTTTAAACCCACTAACCTTACTAATAATTATGGCTTTTAATGTGACTTAAAGCTGTTCTACATCAGTTAGTATATTATACAAATATAGTTTAAAGTTATTTTGTATTTCAAACACACTGACTTGTTTCCCCAAGTTATTTTTCCTGCTCTGACTACTGTAAGATCATAAGCCATTTGCACAAATATCTTAACTGCAGTTGTCAGTCTTGAACTCTTCAGTATTTGAACAAGGCTTCAGGACTTCTGATAAGGGGGTGGAGTTGCAGTTGTACATTTACAAAAGAATTCTCACTCTGAATCCTAGACAAATTTTGGAAAACTAAAAGGAAAACACGTAATGTTACTCATGCCTTAATTTTATTTTTCTTCTGTTAAAATATATCCGTATATAATATGTTTAGATGTGGCTCGGCAATATTTGTGAGCCTGATGTAAAGAAAATTAATTTGTTAGAGATACTTTCAGCCTGAGTCTAGTACCAAAATTTTTTATAAATTCCCCCGAAAATATTTACAAGAAATATTCTAAGGTTCATTTTACTGCTTTATTTACCTTAAATTTAAGTTTGATTTTCCATGCTACTTCAAAAAATGTAATGCAATATATCCACAACTGAACATTTTTAACGAATGTTATAAAGTTGTCTTTTTAAAAGTTCTTTTTGATACAATTTCAGATAAGCTTTTTTTTAATCTGTATATTCTTTTTTTTAAAGAATTTTATTCCAATAACATGACTGCTAGTTTATGTTTATGTTTAATTAACTGTTTGTGAATGTTTTGGTCTGTAGCAATTTTAAAACTGTTTTGAAGTTGGAGAGCAGCTAAGGATTTCAGACCTGAGAACAAAATCTTAATTGTAAAATCAACAGTAAACAGTTTTGTCTTTTTAAAGCATGGTAATGGATTTTCAAGAAAGATTTCTTTTGTATATTAAGAGTGTAAACTGTTACAGATTTAATGTTTAATAGACCAATAAAGTTTTGCAAATATTTGACATTACAATGAATTGTTGTACATGTTGTACAAAGTTTTAGAAATCTAACCATCATTTAATGAAGTTTGTCTTAAATTTATTTAGTTCTTTGGCACTGATGCTGCACTTCTTTATGTTTACCTTCAATATGTCCTTAAATTGCTCCCTCTGGCCCCCAACGCTGCTCTGTCCTTCCTTTAGCTCGGAAAGCAGAATCTGTTTGGGGAAGCGCTGATCAGGCATCCGGACCACATGACCAGTCCAACGAAGTTGTTGGTAGATGATGATAGCTTCAATGCTGGTCATGTTTGACTCTTCCAGGACACTAGTGTTCATGCGCCTGTCCTCCTAAGGGATAGTTAGGATTCTCCTGATGCGTTGATGATATTGTTCAAGTGCCTTCGGGTGAGGCTTATATGTTGTCCAGGTTTCACATGCGTACAGTAATGTTGGAACAATCACTGCGCGGTACACAAGGAGCTTTGTCTTGGCATTGATGTCCCAGTTCTCAAAGATCCTTCGACTGAGGCAGGCAAAAGCAGAGCTTGTGCAGCTCAGGCAATGCTGGATTTCCACGTCAGTGTCAACTTTGGCGGAAAGCTGACTTCCAAGGTACAGGAAATGCTCCATGTTTTCCAGCAGTTCTCTGTTGACTTAAATAGATGGTTATGAGATTGTCCCATCCGCAAAGATTGATGGGGCACCTTGGTCTTTTTTATGTTTAGTGTGAGGCTGAGATTCTAGTATGCTTGAGTAAAGGCGCTTAAGATGGTCTGAAGAGCTACTGGGAAAAGAGCAGCGACCATATTGTCTTCTGTGTACTAGAGCTCCACGATCAAAGTTGTGAAGGTCTTGCTTTTGGACTTCAGTCTTCTGAGGTTGACAAGCTTCCCATTCATTAATCTTCATGCTATCTGGAAGCTTGCCATCAATGAGATGGAGGGTCATGGTGATGAAGATGCAGAACAGCACTCAGGCAATGATGCAGCCTTGTTTGACTCCCAATTTGACCTCAAAGAGGTTGCTTCGGGATCCGTTGTTACTTAGCACTGTGGCAGTCATATTGCCATGAAGCAGCCTCAGGATGCTGATGAACGGGAGTGCACTGCGCTACTGATATTCTTTGTTCTCCAGGACCCAGAGGGGATCCATGGGAACCAAAGAATAAGGCAAAGCAGGAAACCGCTCTAATTTACGCCAGAGCTGGGCCAGTCCTGCATTGCTTCAGAGTGTGGTGAGTGGGGTTGCCAACCTTGTAATCTTACAAAACTTAACACCTTGCTCTGTCCCTGCCATGCGCCTTACCTGGGGCCCTGCCCCTGCTCTCTCTCTCTCTCTCGCTCTCTCACACACACATGGGCTGGGACACACATTAGGGTGCAGGAGGGAATGAAGGCTCCAGCTGGGGATGTGGGCTCTATGGTGGGGTCAGGGATGAAGGGTATGGCGCGTGGGAAGGGAATTCAAGCTGGAAAGTCGGGCTGAGGACTTTGGAGTGTGGGTCAGGGCTGGGGGAATGGGCTCTAGGGGGGAGGCAGAGCTGAGGTAGGACATAATGATGTGGGCTCCAAGTGGCACTTATCTTGGCTCCTGAGAAGCAGCCACTATATCCCTCTGGCTCCTAGGCAGAAGGTGCAATCAGGCAACTCTACGCACTGCCTCTGCCTGCCTGCATCCCAGCCAATGGGAGCTGCAGAGCCGGTGCTCATGCTTGGCCAGGGGTAGCACACAGAGGCCAGTGGAACATGCCGGCCACTTCCTGGGAGCTGTGCCGAGCTGAATAGGAAGCCTGCTGGCCCCACACCAACCAGACTTTTAACGGCCCAGTGAATTCTGTGAATAATTTGTGGGGACAAAACCACCTGATTTGCACTGGTGGTGACGGGGCTGCTTGGAGATCCCTGTCAGATCTCATTCTGACTCTGGTGCTCCTCCAGTAGCCTTGCTGAAGTCATTTAATCACTTGGCCTTGTTTCCCATCTGTAAAATTGGATTCCTTAAACCAGCCTGTGTAAATTGTTCTTCCTTTCTAATTTTTGTCTTTAGTGTTCTCTCTAATCCAGGGGTGGGCAATAAGAAGCCTGCAGCCTGAACATCATTCACCAGATGGTTTATTTACCTGAGCATCTGCAGGCACAACTGATTGCAGCTCCCGTAGACCCTGGCTCATCACTTCCACCCAATGGGAGCTACAGGAAGCAGTGTGGGCCGAGCCACGGCTCCCATTGGCCGGGAACGGCAAACCGTGGCCAACAGGAGCTGCAAGCAGACATGCCTGTGGATGCTCAGGCAAATAACACACTTTAAATCTTGGCAAACCATGTCCGGCTCGCAGGCTGCTTACGTCCACCCCTGCTTCTAATCGCATTGGTTGGCTGTGGGAAGCAATTGCTAAATTCAGAACCCGAAGCCTTGCTGAAGAAAATGGCATGAGACTTTTAATTTGTGTAACATGATCCCTAGGATATTTCTATCAAGAGGGAATGTTACTTACAAGGTCATCAACCATACAGTTTTGCTGTTGCAGCAGTATAGCCACAAAGGAATTTATTGCAGAGCCCACCAGCTTGCAGCCCAGCACAATTTCTTTCCCAAGCTAACTAAGCACAGAAACTAAAATGATTTTCCTGAAGATGGTGGCTAGACTGCCAGTGTTTAAACTGAATACTAGTCATTACCCTGAGACTAATTTATGAACATAACCCCCTTCCTAACTCCCTGCAATGTCTACACTACAAAATTATGTTAACCTTACACTGGCATACAGCCACTGAAGTTATTAATTCGTGGGTGCGCACGCACCTGTTTCTTGGGTTGGTCGTGTGCATCCTCCCTAGGAGCTCTTATGTTGATTGTGTTGTCAGTATGGGGGTATTGTGGGATTGTACTTGGAGGCTAGTAACAGTAGCCATAAGCAGTGAAGTTTCTCTGCTCATACTACACTACAGGGATAAGTGAATATAAGCTGCCTTGCATCGACTTTGTGGAAGTGTTTTCACTTAAATGTGCCAGACTGCATGCTGGGGTGCTGTGTAATGGGTTCCTTTGTGGCTATTCTGTTGCCACAGCAGAATTTTGTCTCTGATTGCCAGGATAGGTAACATTTCCCCTTGGCATGAATATGCTGATTAAATGTTATAATTCCTACAGTGTACAATCTCTGAAGCAGCTTTTACTTTAAGTACTCATTCAGAAAAATGTTAATTTTGGCTTTACTGGTCAGTGCAAACATGACACAATAATAATCTGAAAACTATGACACTGTAACAGTGGAGAAGTGGCTATTAGTATCCCGTAATTACTGGCTAGTGGGGGGAAGACCCAGATGTACAGCTTTAAACAGTCCCTGTCCCCTCTTCCAATTTGCAAGAGACAAACAAGACCCTGTGCTAGATGGAATTTCCTTAAACAGATTACTTCAAATTTCTCCTGAATTTGTGTAACCAAAAGTTCCTCCTTCCCACTTGTAGACCCAATAAAATTTGTGAGAAGTGTCTTTAATTTTCAGCTGTTTTCTTTGTGGGGAAAATTGGAAAAAAATCTAGAAATCAACACTTTCTGCAAAGTCATATTTTTGTGACAAATGCTTGCACTGTAGCGAATACCACAACTGAACAGGGGAAGTGAGAGAGTTCCTCAGTGTTTTCAAATCCTATCCAATGTTGGGTGGACAAGTAGAAGGGAGAGGATCCCTGCCTTGGTAAACTACTGGGAGGCCAGTTGAGCATAGCTAAAAAGAAATGTTTAACACAAACATCTGGACAGAGATGTTACTGCAAACATCTTTGATGTGACAAGAGTAGCTGGCAAAAGAACTAATGGCAGCCATCAGCATTCAAAAAGAAGTCAAGACACAAACAAGTGGTTTAAATCATGAGGCGTTATTTTTTAAAATACATTCTGCCGATTTTATTTGTCACCTTGTTTCCAAGCCTTTCGAGTGTACTCCAGTCACACTTTCGAAGTTTGTCTCTACAACTGAGAGTCATGGCACTTAGCGGGCTTGAGTGGGTCACACGTATCTGAGTCAACAAGGGGATGCTGTTGCAAAAGAGGCTAATCTAATATTCTGGGGTGTATTAACAGAAGTGTCATGTAAGACACAGGAGGTGACTCTTAATTTTACGTGGCACTGGCTAGGCCTAGCTGGAGTACATTGTTCAGTTCTGGGTACACTTTAGGAAAGATGTGGCCAAATTAGACAGCATCCATAGGCCAGCAAGAAAAATAATAAAATGAAAGCTGACCTCTCAAGAAAGGTTTAAAAAAGAGTCTGCACGTGTTCAGTCTTGAGAAAAGAAGACTGAGTGAGGGACCTGATAGCAGTTTTCTAATACGTTAAGCAAGGAGAGCAGTGATCAGTTGTTCTCTATGTGCCCTGAAAGTAGGACAAGAAGCAATGGGCTTTAATCTGCAGCAAGGGCAATTGAGGTTAGATATCAGGGGGCAATTTAACTATCCAGATAGTTAAGCAATGGAATGGGTTACCAAAGGAAGCTGTAGCATCCCTCTCATTGATAAGTCTTTTAGAACAGATTAAACACCTGTCAGAGAGAGCTTAGGTGTTCTCTGTCGGTCCTGCCTCAACATGGGAAGCTGCTAGATAACCTCATGAGGCCCTTCTAGCCCTACATTTCTATGAGGGCTACAAATGTACCTTTTCTAAATGTCACTCCCAACTATTCTCTGTAAGAGGATTGATGTCCCCAAAAGCCTTAATCACTCTCACTAGGAACCCAAAGATGGAGAGGAAAGGAGGTGATCTCATGTGGAGCTGTAGGGGTGAGACTGAGGAGAGGAGAGGAGAGCAAAGCAGGGACACTGAAGGTGAAGGAATTGTGGAGGAGGCGGAGGAGAGGAAGGAGACAGATGAGCTTTATTCATCTGTTCCCCAACAAAGAGCCCAGAGGATTCTGGTATTTAGTGCTCCTAAGGTTGGTTAAGTTTTGCTTAGAAATATGAACACCTGGTTTTCTTTTCCCTCCAGTGGAACAGGTCCTAGCCATGACAATGACCCAAGATTCTAATAGGATTCTTTCCTACAGGAGTGAGGGCATGTATAGCACTTAGAGGAAGAGCAAAAAACCCATGACCAAGCCTTCACAGTCCTGTGACTTGGGCTTAAATCCCCCACAAAAGGGAAACTTTCAGTATATGTAGAAATATTTACAGAAGTGTATGGCTTACATGCTGGCCTCCTTGTGGGCAGTTACAATAAATTCTTATTCACACTAGGAATTTCCCTTAATGCTGTTGTTTTGAAGATTTTTCAGAAGTGATCCAAACAAGATAGCTCCTTTAAAACCAGACCATTCTACATACTGCTTTGTACTCTGAACAGACACAGACAACAGTGAATTTCTAACTACATAAATTACTTCCACAGATGGCGCATGCAACTCAGAACTGAGGATACATGATTAAGGCTTCTTGCCAGGAATCTTGGTGGACGTAAGAGCCAGAGCTTTAGGCAATGAACAATTGTTAGTGGAATTAGTTTCAGACATTTTTGTGGGTAGACAGCTGGATTTTCATAGATGAAATCAGAAGGAACAGTTAGACTAAATCAGGAACAATTCTCAGAGCAGTCCATATGGGAATCGTCTGGAATAGTCCAAGGGACAGGGAGGGATCCTATTCTTCCTCAGTGGAGACACTAAAATGTCGACTGGAAAAGAGTGAGAGAACAGCTACCCAAGGGAACAAACATGCTGACACAGGAGCATAGGCTAGATGACCTAACTGTTTGCTTCAAGTGCTGACTTATGACTCTGAGAATCACTGATCATTTCATGCTGGTGTATGTATGTTTTTACACATGCAAATTACTACCTCCCAAATGTACTAAACAAGTTGCCTATTGTTTCATCTTGCCATCATTTCGATACCTTAACTATAGTGGCAGGAAATTCTAATCCAAGTTTAGGATAAAAAGTTTGTAACTTAACCGTGTTTACATTAAACTCCATGAGGCAGCATATCAACCAGTTTCCAAAGACAGTGAAACCCCCACTTACTTTATCTCCTTTTTATTTTCACATTTACATAAAAAAGTCTGACAGTTATATTAACCAGAACAAGCTGTGGTGTGCATTCTTACAACAAATGAGTATTGCTTTTGCCGTTTGAAATAGCAACATCAGGTTGCTTTCTGTGTTAGATATCTCCAACTCCAAGCTGCTGAGCTTGAAATTCCTGAAAGTCCTCTGGGATGGTGTCTGAAAACAACAAAATATGCAAAGGTTAGTTGTTTTCCCATGTAGCTGATGCGTGTTTAGTCCTAGAGCAAGGTGAATAATTGGGAATGAATAATCTATGGGTTAAAGGATAGCTTTCTTTTTCCTAATCAGAATTTGCTTGAAAGTAGAATGTGTCTGTTCTAAGCTGTATTTTTAATTTGCTGAATAATTTCTTTGAATAACTCTTGGATTGCAGATCATTCGAGCATTAGCCCTTTTTGCACTCAGTGTCATACACAAAAAGAGTGTGTATAATGAACCAGTGCAGGGAAAATTGTGAATTTTATTACTGAACATATAACTCTCAATTTACTGCATGTGATGATTCAAGCTTCAGATATTTGTGGGCTAATAAACACTGAACATTCATATGCTTGCTGCAAGGGAACATGAAAGAGCTGGTTGTGTTGGAGTGTAGTGGAAAAAAATACTCAATTTGACCTGAACATTCACAAGCAGTTTTTTCTCTGCTCTTTACCCATCTGCTTTAGAATGTCATGAAGAATCCGTCTATCTCCTGGTGTTAAATGCCACACAGAATTTCAGTCTGTGGCCACTGCGAGTGAGGCAGAGGATTTAAAAGCCCTGGAAGTTGTCAGTGTCAATTTCAAAATTGCATGTGTCTGTAAACAGCCTACCTTCCCTTCTTACAAATAGCGCCTAATGTCAACATGAAGAGACAAAAAGGAAAATACTCTTGTTTACTCTGTGCCTTTGTTAGATCTTTGTACAGTCAGCTGCACTGCTTCCTGTGTAAAGTCAGCAACTCCCTGCAGAATGGTTTGTGGGCTTTTCACAAAGCTACAGGCAAGAGCAGGGGCAGATGACCGTTTTGCAGTGCCCCGGGCAGCATAATTCCGCAGGGCTCCCCCTTTGCCACGGCGCATGTGCAGTGACGCCATGCACATGTGCGGTGGCACCACGGCGCATGCACGGGGCTTTTTGAAGCGCGGAGCCCGGGGCAGCCGCCACGCTCGCCCTGCCTTATATCCGCTCCTGGGCAAGAGAATCCTTAAGAATTTGCATGAGAATTAAACTTGTAAATGAAGTTAAGTTCCAACCCTCCCCTGTGTATTTGGCTTGTGGAATTGGCCTGAAACAACATGGTGTCTTGGAGATCCATTAATGAGTGTCCAAGCAGATTAAAGTGTTCTCCAACAGTTTTTTACGTACTGCCTTTTTGGATATCTGATTTGTGTCCATTAATTCTTTCCCATAGAGACTGTCCAGTTTCGCCAATATACACGGCAGTGGGGCATTGCTGACATTTAATGGCATATATCATGTTAGTGGATGTGGAGTTAAATGAGCCTCTGATTTGGTGGCTGATGTGGTTGGATCCAGTGATGAAATCGCTAGTATGCAAATAGTATGAACAGGGACATCGGCTGGCTCGCACACTACCTTTCACGTCCTAATGACTTAACCAACCAATGAAGGTGCTAATTTTGCTTATCAGCCTCTTGTAACTACTTGAACCGTCTACTCACTGCCTCTCTTCCCCCCCCCTTTTTTCTCTTTTTTCCTCCCTTCCCCCACTTCCCTTATTTATTCTTGGATCTGGACTTCTAATACTTCAGTCATCTGAAGAAGTGGGTTGTGCCCACGAAAGGTCATGATACCACCTATATGTTTTCTTTGTCTTCAAGGTGCTACTAGACCAGTTTTTCTCAACCAGTGGTACGAGTACCCACAGGGGTACTCAAGAGAAGTCTGGGGGGTATGTCAACACAACTGAAATTTGGAGAAAACTGAATTTTTGTTTTAAGTTTTACAGCACTTTTTTTTGTACTTTTTACACCCAAAAATTTCATCACCCCCTGGGTACGATTAAATTGTTTAAGCATATGAATGTTTAATGTTTATTAGACCACAAATATCTGAAGCTTGAATCATCACAGGTAGTAAATCGTGTTGCAATGGTAGAAAAAAAATTTGTGTGTCTGAAAACTAGGCACTGGGGGTACCTATAATTTTTTTTAAAAGGGGTTACTTTATATTTAAAAAAAAAAAAAGAAGAGAGAAACACTGCTAGACTATTTGTGGTTTTTAAACATTTCCCAGCACAGCCATTTGCTTTCAGTCATTGAAACTATAGGCAGAGCCATCGCAGCAAAGGCCAGCAGCTAAGGCTACATCTAGACTACATCCTGGCTACATGTAGTCTTGACTACATCCCTCTTTTGAAAGAGGGATGTAAATTAGACATATTGAAATTGCAAATGAAGCTGGGATTTGAATTTCCCACACTTCGTTTGCATAATCGCGTCACGGCATTCTTTCGAAAAACACTATTTTAGAAGTGAAACCGCTGTCTTGACGCGGTTCATTCGAAAAGAAAAGCCTTTCGAAAGAGGAATGTAGTCTAGACGTACCCTAAGAGCCCTGCTTCCTATATTCAAAGCTGGCAACTTCCCTTAAACATGCAACATTTCATCTTGGCACTAGATCTGGGCTGGAGCTTTGGATTTAAATGTTTAATTTCACAAAATGTAAGTAACCAACCCAGTCGGTGTTTTGCTAACTGGCTTGTCTCCAATAGAGGGGTGGAGTAGAATGGCATTAGGCAGTGGGCTGCAGCTGCCTGTACTCGGCAGAGAATTATTCTGAGAAGAGAGAAGCGACTGTGTTCCACTTTTACAAGGCTGATCAGCTGCCGTGACGGACATTGCCTCGTGCACAGTTCCTCCAGAAAAATGTCTTGCAATAAGGAAAAAGGGGAAGCGCGGCTATGTATGCGAGATACATGGGAACACCAGGGCAGAGGGGTGGTAAAAGCGAGCTGGGGGAAGTAGCCTAGGACTGTGGTTTTTGTTAAGCATGTCCAAGTTTTAAAATTAAT